GATGATCCATGTGATACCTCTTAAAGGAAATCGAATATGGAACCCCAATAGGAAGATTGGCAAACATTCCAAACCAGCGATTCCACAGTGCCTTGTGGTGGCCAAAGGCAAAATTGTGGGAAATCTCATGAATAGCCAGAGTCATTGAGTGGTTAATGCAGCTGCCAAAGACGTAGGCCCAAAATATGACCCATTTCCAGTCCAAGTCTTTTACTAAGTAAAATGCAACCAACTGGGTGAGAACCATCATAATTATAATCCATATCAAGTTGGAATCAGGTTTCATCAAGGATTTTATCTCTGGATACTTTGCTGTAAGAAAAAAAAAAATCAGGAATGTAGAAAAGTACCTAGTTACTCATGAATTATAATTAACACATTAACTAGACATTTTCACTTCCAAATGATAATATTCCCTCTATTCAAGACTTTACCAAATGTTTACCTACTACAAGGAAAGAGTATATTCTCATAGTAAAGTTTAAAATACTATGACACAACAACTTAATATTCATGCAAGAAAAATTACTCCTAAATACAGATGTATTCATTTGTATTAAATATTTTATCTATGTTATACAGATCTTCAGCATCTTAACCTTATAAAATAAATCAACATTTGACAAAGGATAGAACATAATATACATTCTGTAGGTATTTTAAAACCATGAAACTTAGTTTCACATTTCTCTCAAATAACCCCAAGTAATTCTGTAATGAAATTTCACAAAGCTGTAATAGTATATAAAAGTCAGTTAGTTCTGGGCTGGGATTATGCTCAGTGGTAGAACACTTGCCTAGCATGTGTGAGGCACTGGGTTCAATCCCCAGCACCACATAAAAAAATAAAAAAAATAAAGGTATTGTATCCATCTCCAACTAAGAATTTTTTTTTTTAAAAAAAAGTCAGTAGTATAAGGAAGCCAAATAAGGAAATGGAGAGAAAGAATAATCTTTTCAACAGATGATGGTGGAACAACTGGAATCAACACGCAAGAGAATGAAGTTGGACCCCTTCCTTAGGCCATACGTAACAATTAGCTAAAAGTGGATCACAGATCTAACTATAAGAAAACGGTCAAACTCAAAAGAAGTCGTTGAAGTAAATCTTCTCAACTTTCATGGTTTCTTACATACTAAAACAAAAGCACAAGTGACAAAAGAAAAAAAATAGATACACTGGACTATATCAAAATCGCTTCTGTTGAAAATGATATCATCAAAAAAATGATGACAAGCCACAGAATGGGAAATCATGTTTGCAAATCATTTATCTCATAGGTGAACTGTATTCAGAATATAAAAAAACTTGGCTAGGGGTATAGCTCAGTGCTACAGTGCTTGCCTGCCATGGGCAAGGCGTTGGGTTTGATCCCCAGCATGGCAACCAAACAAAATTAAAAAACATGCAAAAGGCTAATAAGCAGGTGAAAGATTTTAACATAATTAGTAGGAAAAACAGAAACAAACTACAGAATTCAACTTCACACCCACTAGAATGGTTAAAATAAAAAGAGGCAATAATGAGGATATGGAGAAACTGGAACTATTTTTTTTTTTAAGTTTTTCTTTTTTTAGTTGCAAATGGACAAAATACCTTTATTTATTTATTTATTTTTATGTGGTGCTGAGGATGGAACACAGTACCGCACACATGCTAGGCAAGCACTCTACCACTGAGCCACAATCCCAGCCCATAACTAGAAATTTCATACACTCATGGTGGGAATATAAAATGGTGTAAATTGGAGAACCTTTTGGCAGTTTTCAAAATGACTAATGGCCCAGCAACTCCAGTCCTACATATCTACCCCAAAGAAATGAAAACATATCCATTCAATAACTTGCACATCAATGTTCACAGCATTATATGAAATAGCTGAAAAAGGGAAACAGCCCAAACACCTAGCAACTTAAGTAAAAAGTGGTATATCACTAAAAAGACAATTATTTAGCTACAAAGAGGATGATGTACTGTCCAAAAATATTAAAGGAAGTGAAAGAAGTCACTCAGAGAAGATCAAGCATTGTATGATTTCATTTATAAGAAAGGTCCCAATTAGGTAAATCAATCAAGACAGAAGTAAATTGCTTTCTACTGGGGAAAGGAGTAGAAACAGATGTGGACTGCTTATGGGTTCAGAGCCTCTTCTGGGATAATGAAATGTTCTAAAATTAGATGACAGGGAGAATTTCATAACTGTATACTAAAAAAATGAATTTTATTCTTTAAATGGGTGAATTTATGTGATTTATATTTCAATAAATTTGTTAAAAAATTGCTTCCCTATGAAAGTACAAAAAGTAAAGAAGGCATTACTTGTGACTTATTCTTATTTGACCCACTGATAATGATCTAGTCCCGAGCCTTCAGGATTTTGTTTTGTTTTTGAGGTATTAGAAACTGAACCCAGGGCCTCTTGCAAGCTAGGCAAGTACTCTACCACTGAGGTAACATCTTCAGCCCTCTAAATATAAATTTAAACTATAGAGAGGTGATTGTTAAATACGTCTATGGTCTAATATGCTTTTCCCTACCCCCTCAAACCCTGAAATTGTAGAAATATCTCTTTTCATTTAAACAAAGTTTAAACTAATCCCCAGATTCTTATTTTTCCTAAGCTTATTCCATCTCCCACCCTTGAAGAATTTCCAATCACCTGCTTGGAAATGAATTTTCATTGAGAAATATGTAGTCCTTTCAACTGAAAAGATTCAAATGATAGTAATTTTGTGGGGAACAAAAAAAGCTTTTGGTTGAAATTTGCATCAACTTGCACCTTCTTGCTTCCTTGATTTTCTGACTATTGAATAGATAACTAAATTCCAGTATTTGGGAGTCATTTTTAAAAAATATTTTTTTAGTTGTTGATGGACCATTATTTTATTTTTATGCAATACTGAGTGGAGAACCCAGTGCCCCACATGCAAGGCAAGTGCTCTATCACTGAGCCACAGCCACCGTCCTTTTTTTTTTTTAATTCCTATGAGACATTTAGATAAGGCACAGAAAAAATGTAACATATGCATTCTCATATCAAGTATTGTAAGTTATTTGAGAAATATACATTTTAATTAAAAAAAAAGAAAGAAATCTAAAAACTCAGTTACTTAAAGAACTACCCTTAATAAGCAACTGTAAAAATTCAGCTCCCAGAGTGAGGCTATAGCACAGTGGTAGAGCGCTTGATTAGCATGTGTGAAGCACTTGGTTCGATCCTTAGTACCACATAAAAAAACAAATATAATAAAGGCATGCTGTCCATCTATAACTACAAAAAAATTTAAAAGTTCAGCTCCTAATCAGTGACTCAATTTTTAAAATCTATTGTAGGGGCTGGGGCTGTAGCTTAGTGGTAGTGCACTTGCCTAGCTGAGTCTGATTACCAGGAAGGGAAGGGGGGAAAAACAAAAACCATTTCAATGGGATTTACCAACACTTATCTGTGAAAACCTCAAATATCTAACTTCAGATACTCCTGCAAAAATAAGGATCTTGATTTTTTCTTTTCACTGGGCAAAAGTAAAACGAGAGAAATATGTATATATGAGAGAATTCTCCAACCATTAGTTCAAGAATTATTAAAAATTAAAAAACATATTCTTTGGAGGTAATCTAAACCGGATTAGAATCCTCCTTTTTGCATTAACTCATCACTTAAACTACAGACCTAGCCAAATTTCTGAGAGAGGATTAAACTCCAGTTTTTCATTTTTGTAAAGCATTTAACCCAGTGCCTAACATATCATTAACAGCAGCCTGCAAGGGATAAGAAAAAATGTTTACACAGAAGGCCCAAATACTCCAGAGAGTTGGGTAAGGCCTAGTTAGTTTGGCCTAAAAGGCCTAAATTAGCAATCATTTGGGAAACCAGCAGGCTAAGCTGCACATCTTGTTTATTTGGCAAGTCTTCCATATTTCAGTCTTTTCATCCACAAAATCGGGATGCATGAAAAACGTCTTACGAATTCTACCCTTCTTGCGGGAAAAGCACACGGGGACCCATACGATCCGAGAAGACCCTGGGTCATAGGGTCAGGTGCCGGTCCCTCGCCCTGACGGCCCTCGGCACTGGACCACGTGACTTGGTTCAAGTGGCCCCGGGATGCCGCAGGACCATGCCCTACACCGCACACGCCGGCCTCGCCCGGGAGCAGGCGGCAGCAACGGCGCCCACAGAGGGCACAGGATCTTCACGCTGGAGGGATGGCCAGGGGTGGCCCTGGGGCCCTTGGCCCCAACGGGTCCGCTGGGGTCCCGCGTGGGCGCCTGCGCTCGGGGACGCGCCCGCGCCTCTTCTCGGAAAGGCACCGGCGAAGCGCGGGACCCCCTGCCTCCCGGCGCTCCCGGGCCCGCAGCCCGGCCCGGCGCCTCACCCCGGCCTCTCCAGCGCGAGCGGAAGAGCAGGAAGCCGGAGCTTCGGCGGGACGCGCGGGAAGCGGGCTGGTAACGGGCCTCGGGCGCCCTGGCCCGCGCGGAAGGCCGTGCACGCACATAACGGGGCGCCGGGTCCTCACCCAGGATCTCCTGGCGCCGGTCAGCGTGGGGCTGGTCGGTGTAGACCCACTCGAAGTCTTCCCGGGACACGCGGCTCCCCATGGCGGCGGCGGCGGCAGCGGCGTCTCACGGGCCCGGTCTCGGCTCTCGCTCCCCGCCGGGATCTGTCGAAGCGACTGCGCTGGCGGCAGCTCCTAGGCTTGTGTCTGAGGGCGGCAGGCGCAGCGTCCAAGACGCGACCAGGGGCGGAGCCCCGAGACCCCGCCCCGGCCCGACCCCGGCCTGCCCCCGGCCTCTCGGGGAGAGGCTGCCTCCGGGAGCCGTACTCCGAGGCCCCTACGCGGAACCGGGATTCCACGGTTCTTGGCCGCCGGCTTCTGAGGTTCTGGGACTCGCGGAGCACTTCGAATCCCTGCAGGTGCCCACGTCCGCACTCAGGAAAAGGTGAAAAAGGAGGAATAAAGCTCCAGTTAGACGAGGCTGCTGCTTTAGCGCCGGTGGGGGTGGGGGTGGGTAAGTACCTCAAGGTGCTGCAGCTCCACCGCGACCTGAGGCCCTTTGGCGTTAATAATTGGCTGCTGGGACAAGTTTTGTTTGATATTTAATACTAAATTATCCACTGAGGTGTGTGTGTGGTTTTTTTTTTTTTTTGGTTGCGTTCTGGAAATGATACGTCGAGGGAAATGTGAAGTGTGTGGCAATTAGAAACTGATCGAGTAGAAAGTTCAATTTTTGAGGGGGAAAGGGTATGGAATTTGTCATTCTAATGTTATTTCCATTACAAAGTAATTGCTCAACCTTGCACCTGTGTATCACTGAAGTCATCAACCACAACCTCTTCCTGAAAGACAGGACATTCTGTTTTAAAATTAGTTACCACTTCTCCATCAAAAAAGAAACTTTGGGGGCTTTTCGCATTAGCACAGCGAAAAGCCCTGTGCTCAAACCTTCAAGCCCCAGCACTTAAAAAAAGAAAGAAAGAAAGAAAAGAAAACAAGGAAAAAAATATTGTACTAAGATTACAAAGATAACCAGACGTGGTGTGCCTCGTAATTAAAGAACACACTGTGAACACATAACACACGTACAAACCACACTCACGCCCCACCCATACATATACCAGAGCATATACAATCCAAATCTGATCAGGTCCCTAAATTGGACTGTTAATGTATAGAAGCTGGAAAGAACCGATGAACATGTTAAACCACACCACAGGAATCCAAATCAACAAGATCTGACTGGGGAACCCTATAGCAAGACTCCTTGGTTTTTTAATAAATAAAAGAAAGGAAACCTACAAATTAACTGGGACTTAAAAGATGAATCAACCCATTGCAATATGTTGACTTCACTTAGATTCTGACTCAAATAATCATTTTTAAAAGTTTGATATGCAAACATTAAATATCAATTGGATAGGTGAATTAAGAAATTATTAACTTTTAAGCGTGATGATAGCATTATGGTTATTGCATCTTTAAAGAGCTTTTATTGCTTACAGATTCATACCAGAAAAGAAAAACTAAACTACAACTGAATTATGGTACATGTAATTAACCATACAATGTAATGCAAGACACGACTATGTACCATTTCTTTATATATTTATATGAATTGAGCTACAAAATATACTGTTAAATTGCAAAACAGCAGGTATGAAGGGAGGGGTGTGTATATATAATACGTGTTTCCTTGGATATGCATAAAATGTTTATCAGGACAAACAAGAAATGATTACTTTGTGGTAGAGTAAGTAAGTAGGGGAGAGAGTGTGGAAGGGATTTTTTTCCCACTGAATACTTTGTCACATTTGAAGTGAAAAAATAATGTGGATTTTTGACATTCGTAGAAAAAGGAGAGATTTTGAGCTATAGAATTGTTGTAGGGATTGACAGTTACTTAACATCTAGGCATGCTTTAGTTTGCATTTTTAAAATTTCTTAATGTGTAAACACAATCAAAAAGGTAACTGAGTACAAATACAATGCTTTGGAGTTTTAAGATTTTTAATACATTATCTGGCTCTCACATCTTTTCCTTACTTTTGTCAAGTAATTTTCAGTGAGGCAATCATACCAGTTATTCTGGAAAGAACTGTCCAGTCTACTTTTCAAAGCTGTGGTAAATCTGAATAGTTTCAGATGACATTAGGAAATTTCAGATGAGAGCAACACACTTTTGAAATTGACACATTTTTCTACACAGTTGTTTTCTTTTCCATTTGCTTAATCTTTGAATAGGCAAATAATCTTTATGACCATTTCAATAATGATTTAATTGAGATCTAGTAATGATGTTGAAAGGTAGTAGCCACAGGAAGCTTTGTCATATTTATAGAAGAGAAATTAAACATATTTTTATATTCACTATGAACAAACCTGAACCACAATAATAATATATCATCTTTTTCTGGACATCAAGTAACCCAGTCAGCAGTTAGTTGCCAACTTATATCTTTTCTTACATATTTTAAAATGTATTATTGGATTATAAAATTAGCACATTTGATTTTGCAATTAAAACATTCACAGATTTGTTTTTAACTAAAGTGGAGTTAGTGTAATAGGAAATACACTCCACCTTGCCTGTCTGTTCTCTGTCCTGCTGGTCTCACTCTGTAGCAGGGGACATTGTGTACTCCCACTTACTGCTAGCATCTTTAGTCCCATGTGGTCTTTACTCTCAGAGTCTAATCTGGGCCTGTCTCCTCGAGGTCCCTGTCCTTCCAGTACACAGCCTTCTCAGGACTCTGGGCCTCCCTTCTTTGGAGGGATACTCACCCTCAGCTGAGTTCCTTATCCATGAGGGGTTCTGCAGGATTCTGTGGGATTGTCCTCAGGCTTATCAGTTAGACATTTCCCTTATTGATTGTTAATGTACTGCTTAAATGCACTGCAAACAGGGCTACCCTTTGAGACTTTACGCTCTCTGGTTATACCAAGAGAGCCAGGCAGGCAACCATACCTTTTGCCTGCCTGTGTCTCAACTTACCAGGAGTGCAATATTGGTAGAAGCACAGGTGGCAGGAGGAAATTGTGTGGTGGTCTCAAAAGAAGCAGGAAAAAGGTTTGATAAAATTTAATGTCTATTGGCAACAACTGGGTAGAAGATCCAGTAGAACTGAAGTCTTGGAATAAAATGAGAGAATTTCACAAGGTTGTTAGCTAGAAAATTAATGTACAAAAAATTTGTAATTTAATATACCAGCAACAACCAGTTCAAAGATTTAATTAGAAAGAAGGCACTTATAATAACATAAAAATGTACCTAGAAACAAATCTAAGATATATGAGACCTTCAAGATCAAATTATATATATAAATGTGTATACACACACACACACACACGTATCAGGGCAGATATGGAAGAATGAAAGGATCAAGAACCCCTAAGACAAATCTAGGACAAAACAAGGTAAGGGGGTTTACCCTGCCAAATACTAAGGTTTGTGTAGAGCTTTAATTTATAATATAGACGGTGTCTTAGTCTGTCCAGGCTCTTCTAATACATTGCCATAGACTGGGGGTGGCTGATAGACAAAAGAAATGTATTCTTACAGTTCTGGAAGCCAACAAGTGTGTGATGAAGGCACTGGCAGTTTCTGTGTCTGGTAAGACTCTTCCTGGCATTTTCTTACCGTGTCCTCCTGAGGTGGAATGCAGGAGACATCTCTGTGTAGTCTCTTTCATAAGGGCACTAATCCTATGTGCCAGGGTCCAGCCCCGGCAGGGGATCCAGGGGTCCTGAAGGAGGAGTGACGTTGGCAAAAGAAGAATATATTTTTATATCTTTTTTACAAGAGTTTTTTTAGGTAGTTAATGAAGAGCTTCAAAGCCCTAAACTTATTTGATTTACATAATTTTCAAGAGTTACAATCTTTTCTGACATACATTGATAGTGAGTACATTGTTCAAAATATTTTTCTTTTTAAAAAATATTTATTTTTTAGTTTTAGGTGGACACAGTATCTTTATTTTACATTTATGTGGTGCTAAGGATAGAACCCAGTGCCCCGAGCATGCTAGGCAAGCACTCCACCACTGAGCCACAACCCTAGCCCCTCAAAATATTTTTCTATAATCTTAGCCAATCATGATTAAGCTTTTACGTTTTTACCTCAATCACTAGGTGTTAGACTAGGCAACAAGACTACATGTCTCCTGACCTATTATTCACTTTAAGCATACTTTATTTCATTAACCTTTAACTTTAAAACATACTTATGATTGTTGGTAAACTTTCTTACTTCTAAACTAAAATCCCAGTAAAACACACTTAAAATAGTGAAAGTCTATTACTTTAAAAGCCTACTATTCTGAAGTGCCTCTAAAATATATCTATGTTAATTTTACATTATTTTATTTTTAATTTCCAAGGTAATTTCCTTTTTTCATATGACCTATTTTACTGCTTTCTTACCGAGTTTCCTTGATCCTTGGTCAAAGCACACCAATTCTTATGTCTTTGTAATCTTTAACTAAAGGGCAGGCTTTGCACCTCAACCCATTTGTTATTTATATTAACTGTGTGTTTCCCATTTTCATCATAAATTCCTGTCTAAAGCAAAGGACCGTCTTGGGGGGGGGGGTGTATGTTGCAGAGGTTGTGGCTTTAGAATTGGGGGCTTAATGTAAATTGTTAAGCTTTCCTCAGGAACCTCGATTTGCAATCTTTTTCCCGTAAATTTCTTGAGGAATAACACTATTGATTGTATCCTGAGAGATATTGAAACACACCTTGTGGCATGTCTTAATTGTATCCTTAGTTTCATTCTGGGAATTTTCCTGCAATCTTAGGCAATACGTACTCTTATTATTGATTGACATATGCCCTATTATCCATATCATGAGTATCATAAACAAAACACTTAACATTCCCCATGGTTCTGGTTTCCAGATTGTGCGGCCCTGCTACAGCATCCCCCATGCTGTGACCCTTTCAGACAGTGGGTAGAGGAATGCCTTCACCACCTATGCACGGGGGTTCTACCCTCATGATGTAATCTCTTCTTAAGCATCCCACTTCCTAATACCATCACATTAGGAATTAGACTTCAACACATGAATTGTGGTGGCAGCACAAACTCTTAGTCTATAGCAGCTAGCAAAACAGTAATTCAGGAACAAAGAATATAGTAATAGGACAGAATAGGGTCCAGAAATAAAGCCTGTAAGTATGTAGAACTAGAAGATCTATAAAGAGAAGGAAGACTTTTCACATGAAATTGGACCTACCTCGTGTAAATTCAAGTTATTTTATGACTTAAATGTATAAGATGAAACTAAGAAACTTTTGAATTTAGGAGAATATGTTCTTGAGGGAAGTTCAGGGGAGGATTTCTTAAGGTGTAAAGAGCACAAACCATCAAGAAAGAGAATTTGAAAACTAAATTATGTAATTAAAGGACTGTTCATCAAAATGCAACATAAAGAAGAATGAAAAGACAAATAACAAACTTAAGAGAAGATATTCCCAGGACATAAAATCAATAAAGGGTTATGGGCTGGAGTTGTGGCTCAGTGGCAGAGCACCTGCCTAACATGTGTGAGACACTGGGTTCAATCCTTAGCACCGCCTGCAAAAATAAATAAATAAAAGCATGATGCCCATCTACAACTACCAAAAAAAAATTAATAAAGGGTTAGTACTTAAAGGATATGAAGAACTTTAGAATAAGAAGAAAAAGAGGCTGGAGATATATGTAGCTAAGAGGTACTGGGTTCCATCCCCACCCCCCGATCCCCCCAAAAAAGGAAAAATAGAAAATAGCAGAATAAATAAAGGATTGAAGAGAAAAGGAAGTACTATGGTGTCTTGGTCAAGGTATAACCAGAAAATAGACACCATTCTAGGTATTTGTAACAGAAGGAGTTTATTGCAGGGCACTGGTTAGATAGGGGACAAGAGTTGAGAGGTAATAGGGACAGGAAGGACAATGTGGGAAGCCACTCTTAATCCCTCAGTTGGAAGGCCTTCTCAGGTAGGAGAATGTACTGCATTACCCAGTGAAAGTGGAAGCCATAGAGGCTTGGCCTGGCCTGGCCTGGCCAGAACTGGAGCAGAAACTGCAATTGGTGAAGCCTAAGGTAGACAAAGGAAGGGAGAAATCACTGACTTCTCCCTTTCTTCTTCCTTCGGTATCTCCCATTGGCCAGAGTCAGCCAGAATCCAGCTAGCATAAGAGCCTAGAAAACAACTCACAGGGGACAGTGCAGGGAGGGAAAATAGGTGTGAACTGGCCCAGGATGGTGTAGTGGGGAAAAGTGTTACTTATCAAGAACACTGTGTTAGTCAACTTTCTGTTATTTTACAAATATCTGAGATAAAGCTACTTAAAAGGAGGAAATGTTTGACTCATGATATCAGAGGTTGTAGTCCCTGGTTGACCTTGGTGCTTTGGGTTTGTGGCATCTCAGTACATTATAGTGGGAGTGCATGGTGGAGGATTGTTCACTTCATTAGCCAGAAAGCAAAAAGAGAGTAAGAAGCCAATGTCCCATATCCCCTTCCAAAGCACCACCCCCCCCGTGACCTAACTTCTTCCAACTAGGCAAAACCTCCAGAAGGTTCCACCACCTCACAACACAGGCTGGGAGACCAAGCCACATGTGCCTTTGTGTTACATTCGAGATTCAAATTATAGCAGACATGTAAATAAAATCCACAATATAATACTATTACAGAAATTCTCACTTCCAGAATGGAGGAGTGAGTAGCTTTGTGGATCCATCTTAACTGGTGAATACTTTACAAAACTACTACAACAACTACTTAAAGTCTCTATAATTTGTCCTAAGGGTATATAGCAAATAAAGAAATATTTATTGGGCTGGGGATATGGCTCAAGCGGTAACACGCTTGCCTGGCATGCACGGGGCTCTGGGTTCGATCCTCAGCACCACATAAAAATAAAGATGTTGTGTCCACCGAAAAATAAAAAATAAATATTGAAAAATTCTCTCTCTCTCTCTCTCTCTCTCTCTCTCTCTCTCTCTCTCTCTCTGAATAAAGTCTATCTTTAAAAAAAAATTTTATCCAAGAAAACCTAAATTTTGGTAACAGCAGCAAGGTCTATGGCTCTCTCTGTCCCTCAGCCCCAGATTAGCTGCTGTCTCTCCCCTCAACTCCAGCTTGGCATGACACCAGGCAGGTGTGACCTAAAAGATAAAGCTCCTTATCTCCTCAGCTCCCTATCAGGGACCACAGAGTCTCCCTAACGGGATGGGTTGCCAGCATTTTTCATCCAGTCTACATGCTCTGTGTCACAGAGGTTAAATTACAGGGGAGTGAAGCCACATAGTCAAGGGCTTCGTTCACCTTCCCATCTCTGACTCATTCAAAAGTGGAGGCTCCTACACCATTACCTTCACCTCACTTTCTATAAAGGGATGTTTCACAATAGAAATGCCATGCCAAGAAGACCAGAGGTGGCCAGCCTGGCTTAGCACCTTGCTTATAAAGCCAGGGTGTCCTTAAAGAGTGAAGCAAGCAACTGTCCAGTCTTCAATTCTGGAGTGACTTGCCAGTGGAGAATGGAAGAGGGAGGCCACAAGAAAAGAGAGCTCCTACGCTGTCCCTATGGAACTGGTCCTATTTAGGACAGAAGGTGGGGAAATTCAAGCCTAAGGATGCATGAAAAATTAATGGGCATATCGTGGTAGGCAATAAAGAAGGAGCTGGCAGATCCATAAGAGCAACAAGCTAAACCCTGCACCAACTAGGTTACCATAGAAAACTAGGGAAAGAGTCTGCTAAGAGAAGTCCTCCAGGGGTTGTGCACAGTGGTGCATGCTTTTAATCCCAGTGACTCAGGAGGGTGAGGCAGGAGGATCTAAAGTTTGGGGCCTCAGCAATTTACCAAGATCCTGTCTCATAATTAAAAGAGGGTGGGGATGTACCTCCTAGATTCAATTTCCAGTAATAACAATAAAGAGCCCTCCAAGGGTCAGAACAAATTTCAAAGACTGGCCTCAAAAAGTATTCCTGGAAAATAGCTCAAATTTATTGGATCGGATTGTGGGACAATTTATGATCCAGAATATTGTCAAAAACAATAGAGCAATTAGCCTGCAATTAGAGGAGCCCAACTAACTCAGTGTTATACCTGCAGAAAAAGCCCTCTTAACAGACCAAGGGAAGGAGTAATCGAAGAGCCTACTGTTATCTCAGGATTACTTGGAGCATGGCCAAGGCCCCCTGGGGAGCAGTGTCTGAGAGGTCACATTGAGGGGGATACAGGATTCACTAAAATAGTCCAGGCAAGTCACCTAATAAAAATAATCAAGTGCCAGGTATAGTGGCATATGCCTATAATTCCAACGACCCAAGACGCTAAGACAGGAGGATCACAAATTCAAAGGCCAGTCTTAGCAACTTAGTGAGACCCCCCTCTCAAATTAAGGGGGAGGTAATAGAGATGTAGCTCAGTGGTAGAGTGCCCCTGCACTGAAAAATCAAGCTATCTGAAATCACACAAACTGGAGGTGAAGATTGCTACAATATGTTATCTAAGTTGTGTACTGAGAAAAAAAATAGCAGACATCCAAAGAAATTGGGCAGCAAGAGTGGGAAGAGGTGGTAGAACACTCTGAGAAGGCCCTGATTTCAGATTTTAAAAAGTCTCTAGAGCAGCCAGTTTAAATACGTTTAAAGAACTAAAGAAAACCAGGCAAAAGGAATAAAGGAAGTTATGTTCACAACTCTCATCAAATAGAGAATGTCAATAAAAAGAAAATTCTTAAAAAAAAAAGAAAAGAAAGAACCAGAGGGACATTCTGGAGTTGAAAAGTACAATAACTGAAATGCCAAACTCACTAGGGAGGCTCCATAGTGGATTTGACCTGACACACTCTCAAACTCAGAGATGATGCAACTCATTAAAGAATAGTTTTAAAATACAAAGAAACATAAATGAGCACATACAAGGAAAATGTCATATGGACATGAAGATAGCCGTCCACAAGTCACAGCCATCCACAAGTCACTAACCCCTTGATTTCAAACTCCTAGGTTCTAGAACTGTGAAACAGTAAATTTCTGTTATTTAAGCTACCCAGTTTATGGGTTTGCCCCCAGAAAACGAATGTATGCACTCATTTGTCATCAGCTGCTAGGATTTCCAAATAAGTCTGAAAATTTTTTAACATAAAACTTGATTCAGCAATAAACAGGAATTCTGAACTCAGGTAATAGGACATCCAATTTGGGGCCGGGGTGGCAGCAGTTGCCATCTTTGAAGTGATAGTATAGTGAACAAAAAATACTTGCCCGTGATGAGTCCATGCATAGTACAGAAGATATAAAACAGATTTGTGTGCATCATCTTTTAATGTATCACCGTTTGTTTAAATAGAGTTTAAGTTATACTTCTCTGTGGAAAAATACTTTTGAAAGAAGCCATTCATGTTGTAAAATTGTTGACAAAGCCGAATGGTAGAAAAGGCCATTCTTATATTTCCCACATGTATTTCAGTTACTCCTAGATGAATTAAAGACATCCAGCCTATAAACCAAAGCAAAATATCTGAGTCAGGAGGCAATCTTCGGAGAAGGGTCTGGGGGCATAATTCTGACTCCTACTGTAGTGGACAATGTGGTGAGTGATCTTTCACTTCCTTCTGCTGAGGAGCCAGACACCTATGCTTCTCATTGGTCTGATCTCACAAAACTACAGATGCATTTTTAGTGTATGCAGGAAGCAGTGTTAATCTTATTTGTTTATTTGCACATAGGATATCAAAAGGAATTCAAACTTGTGGAATGTATGGTTTCATGAGAAAAATTTCAGGTGGCAAGCATGAAAGTACAAAACTAATTATATCACAACTGGATAGAAGCTTGGTTTTTCTTTTTGTTCTGAAGTTTGATCAGAGGCTCCAAAAATTGAACAGCAGGAGCAAGATGGTTTATGTAGAGCATGCTAGGTGTCTTAGTCTGTTTGGGCTGGTATAACAAAATACCATTAACTAGGTAACATTTGTTTGTCACATTTCTGGAAGCTGGAAAGTCCAAAATCAAACTACTGGCAGATTCAAAGTCTGGTGAGGACCTATTTCCTGCTTCATGGATGGGCATCTTCTCACTGTGTCCTTACACATGGTGGAAGCAGGTAGTCACCTCTCTAGGAGCTATTTTAAAGGGTACTAATCCCATTAATGACAATAAAAAATAAGGAATCATCACCCTCTCTATCCTCACCTGTGGAAGGACTTTCTTTTCTTTCTCCTAAGCACCTATTTTCTTCAAATTATATTTTAAGCCAAAGAATTTTCCCTTCTATACTCTATGAAAACCTGATAGAAAGAGAATTCTTGTGATTAAAATATAAAAATTGACCAGATGTAGAGACAGAAAGAATAATAAATGTTAATAGGAACTAGATGAGGGGAGTGATGAGGGTTTTTTTTTAATGGATACAGAGTTTCTGTTGGGATTATGAAGAAATTCTGGAAATAGATGGTGACATTGTGCAACTTTGTGAATACACCTAGTGCCACTGACTCCTGCGCTTAAAAATGGTCAAAATGGTAAACTTTGTTATATATATTTTGCCACAATTTAAAAAAAATGAGCCAGGTGTGGTGGTACATGCTTGTAGTCTTAGCTACTGATAGGAAGACTGCTTGAGCCCATGAGTTTGGGGCCAGCCTGGGCAACATAGTAAAATCCTGTGTTGGCAAAACTAAACAACAAAAATAACACCTTAGAGAAGTGTGGAACTTCATCAGGCTCATCAACATACATGTAATGAGAGTACCAGACATGGAGGACAGAAGGAGCAGAACAAAAATTGAAAGAAAAAGTAGGTGTAAACTATATTTGATTAAAAACATTAATCTGTACATCTCACAAATTCAGTGAACTCCAAGTATGATGAACACAAAAGAGAGGTCTGTACCCAGACACAACATAATCAAAGGCTGAAGGCCAAAGACCAAGATGAAATCTTAAAGCACCAAGGGGAAAAAAATTACACCACTGATAAGAAGACCCCAATAAGATTCACAGCTGACTCATCAGAAACAATGAAGGCTAGAAGGCAGTGATACAGTACTATGGTTTAAATATGATTTGACTCCTCCAAAACTTACCCCATTGCAAGGTATTAAGAGGGTAGAAATCCAATCTGACTATAGGATTTATGGGTGGTCCCTCTGGGAGGAGATTAGGATTAGGTAATGTCACCAGGACGTATCCCCCATGGCGGCTAATTAAAAAGAAGGAAATGGACTAAAGGAGGCACATACACATGTGCTCCCTGTTTCTCACCATACAAAGCCCTGTGCTGCCTCACAATAAGAAGGCCATTACTGGATGTGGCCTGCTATAGTTTGGATCTTGAATGTCCGCCAAGGTCTAACTGTTAAAGGCTTTGTCCCCATCCTGTGGTGCTACTGAGATGTGGTGGAAACTTTAGGAGATGGGGCCTAGTGGAAAGAAGTTAGATCACAGGGGTGAGCCCTTGAAGAAGACAGTAGAATTACAGTCCTTTCTCTTCTTCTCTCTTTGCTTCCTGACCACCAAGAGGTGAGCAACTTCTTCCATCACATGCTCCCACCAGAATGTGCTGCCTTGCCACAGGTCCAAATGCAATCAGCCAACTGACCATGGAATGAAATCTCCAAAACAGTGAGCCCAAATAAAACTTTCCTCCTTATCAGTTTATTTGTTACAGTAACAGAAAGCTGATTCACACATAGCTCTTAGACCTTCAACTAGAAGCATGAGCCAAATTAAACCCCTTTCTTTGTAATTTACCCAATGTGTTGTATTGTGTCATTATCAGCAGACAATAGGCAATTCAATGTGCTGAAATAAAACCTTGTCAATCAAGAATTTTATATCTAGCCAGGCTTGGTGGTGAGGTCTTTGAAAAGTAATTAGGATTAGATGAGGTCATGAGGGTGAAGCCACCTCAATGGAATTAGTGTCCTCATCAGAAAAAGAAGAGTTATAAGAGCTCTATCCACACCCGCCCCCCACACACAGAGTGAAGAAAGTCTATGTGAGCATGCAAGGAGGCAACCATCTGTATGCTGCCTAGGAAACCACCTAGGAATAAATCTTAACTAAGTGTTGGAACCATATATGAATTTTGGGTTTGTTTGAGCAAACATAAGGCAGGGAAGCTGCTTTTCTGGGAACTCTTGGGAAATACTCTTGGGTTCGAGAAAGCCCAGATCATGCAGGCACCCTGCCTTACCTCACAGCCGCCCAGAGATAGGAGTAACCTGCCAAGCATGTAAACAAGACTCCTCCCAAACTGAAACCTTATCCCTGGCTTTGATGTACCTCCCCTTAAATAAAGAATTGGGGCCTTTTTCAGTCCTTCAGTTCCAGTTGCTGTCAAGGCTAGAAGACCCATCAGGTGCCCCACTTCCTAAATCTAATCTTTGGATTTGTCTTTCTTACTGATTATTTCAGACTTTTTATTTTCCCAGGCAGCTCACACCTCCTAGCAGGAACCTGGTCTTCTGTGGTTCTGTCTACACCATCAACTAAGGAGGTGAAAGTCCTCTACAATGAAAACTATAGAACATTGAAGAGACATTGAAAAAGATCTCAGAAAATGGAAAGACCTCCCATGTTCATGGATAGGCAGAATTAATATTGTTAAGCTGGTCATTCTACCAATCTCCATCAAGATACCAATGGCATTCTTCACAGAATTAGACAAAACAGTCCTAAAATTCATTTGGAAGAATAAAATAACCAAAACAATTCTAAGCCAAAAAAAGCAACGCTGGAGGCAACACAATACCTCACTTCAAATACTACAGAGCTATAGTAACAGAAATTGCATGATACCAGCATAAAAACAGACACATAGACCAATGATACAGAATAAGACACAGAGACAAATCCTAGACATCTACAATCATCTGATTCTTGACAAAGCTGCCAAAAATATATCTTGAAGACAGCCCTTTTAGCAAATGGTACCAGGAAAACTGGTTATTCATAGATTCAGAATGAGACTAGATCATTATTCACCATGTACAAAATTCAACTCAAAATAGATCAAAGACCTAGGAATTAGATCAGAACTATGCAACTTCTAGAAGAAAATGTAGGGTCAACACTGCAGCATATAGGCACAGGAAACAACTTTCTCAACAGGACCCCTGAAGCTCAGGAAATAATGCCGAGAGTTAATAAGTGAGATAGCATCAAATTAAAAACATTTATGCACCAAAGGAAAACAATAAGGAATTTGAAGAGAGAACCTACAGAATGGGAGAGAATTTTTGCTAGCTATTCTTCTGGCAGAGAATTAATATTTAGAATATATAAAATCTTAACACCAAAAAACCCAAACAAACAACCCTATTAAGCCTATAAATAAATGGACAAATGAACTAAACAGATGCTTCTCAAAAGAAGAAATACAAATGGCCAACAAATATATGAAAAACATGTTCAAACCATTAGCAATGAGGGAAATTCAAGTCAAAACTACACTGAGATTGCCAGGCACTTCTGTAATCCCAGGGGCTTGGGGGCTGAGACAGGAGGATCACAAGTTTAAAGCCAGCCTCAGCAAAAGTGAGGCCCTAAACAACTCAGTGAGACTCTGTTTTTAAATAAAATGCAAAATAGGGCTGGGGACGAGGCTCAGTGATTGAGTACCCCTGGGTTCAATCCCTGGTACCCCCTCCAAAAAAAAAAAAAAAACTACACTGAGATTTCATCTCACACAGTCAGAATGGCAGTCATCAAGAATATCAAGAAAACAAATAATAATAAATGCTGGAAAGGATATAGAGAAAAAGGAACATTTTTACACTGTTGGTGGGATTGTAAATGAGTACAACCACTGTGGAAATCAACATGGAAGTTCTTCAAAAGGCCAGGCATGGAACCACTATGTGACCCAGCTGTAATACTCTTCAGTATTTATCCTAACGAATGAAAGTCATCATACTAGAGCAATACATGCACACTCATGTTTATAGCAGCACTTTCACAATAGTCAAACTATGGATTCAGCCTATGTGTCCATCAAAATATGACTACTTAATGTGGTATATATAGACAATGGATTATATATCATCTTGAAGCCATTAACAGTGATGTATTAGGGCCAGTATGCAAGTACTGAAAGTTAAATCATTACAAACTTGTGAGTCAGTTGATGTCACATTGGTCCCTTGAAATTGACCACCATAGGAGTATTTAAGCATAGAAATCTGCAGTTACTATACATCATGGCTTCTTCCTCCCATGCAAGTTTGTTGTAGAACATTTGCCAGCCCACCATTGAATGTATATCTGTCTAGCACGTAGATACGAAAAGATCTAAAGAAAAATGTGGAAATGACTATACCAAACTCAGAATATTGGTTACCACTTGTCTTCAATTTCTGTTACTATAACTGAATACTATAGACTGGATAATTTATAAAGAATATATGTTTATTTAGCTCACAGTTGTGAGGCTGGGAAGTCCAAGAGCATGGCACAGGTATATACTCAGCATCTGGTGAGAGTCTTTCTTTCTGCATCATAACATGGTAGAGGGCATCACCTGGTGGAACAGAGCCACCAAGTCAGAAAGTGATTGCTTTCTCTCTCTCAGTAACCCATTAATCCATATGTCAGTGAATTCACTAATGTGGGCAGTGCCATCATGACGCAATCACCTCCCCAAAGGCTCACCTCCAAATACCATTAAAATTTGAATTGGGAGATTGAGTTTCCAACACATGAAATTTGGGGGATAGATGCAAACCATAGTGCCACTGGAAGGGACATAATTTCTGAGGAACACACAGGGCTTCTGGGGTTAATCATTTCTCCTCCGTGGACAGAGCAGTACATGCAGTTGTACAAAAGACCACAAACTCACATTTTTGAAATGTGTGTTTGTCACTTATTAGAGATCTGTATGCAGAAAGAAATGAGGGGACCAACCAGTAAGTCCAGGGACCAGAACATCTCAAGGCTGGACATCAGTTTCTTCATTTAACCACCTACAATTCCTTCCCCTAACTATACATACCTCTTCCTAGAACTGCTTTGGGATCCACACAACAGGGAGGGCCTTGTGCTCATCATTAACAAACTTCAAAGGGCCAGAACATTTGAGAATATATTCAAACATATATATATCAACAAGGGAAGTCACACTATTCAATCAGAAGAAGGCAAAGGATGAAAGGGTCATGATGGTTGTAGATAAAGATTTTGTTATTGTTATCAGCATTTTAACCTTTAAGCTGAGTTTTATTATGTATAAAGGGTTGGTTTCTTCTTTAGCATGCAGTGTTTGTTTTACTTGTTATTTTTTACTCTGTAAATATAAATTTTCATACACTACTTTGCTACGTTTCACAATTAATTAAATGTAAAAATTACTATGAGGGGCTGGGGTTGTGGCTCAGCGGTAGAGCACTTGTCTAGCACGTGCAAGGCGCTGGGTTCGATCCTCAACACCACATAAAAATAAATAAATAAAATAAAGTTATTGTGTCCAACTACAACTAAGTAAAAAGTTTTTTTAAAAAATTAGTATGAGGGCTGAGTCTGTGGCTCAGTGGTAGCACACTTGCCTGGCATGTGTGAGGCACTGGGTTCGATTTTCAGCACCACATATAAATAAATAAAGGTCTATCAACAACTAAAAAAAATACCTTTGTAAAAATTAGTATGAGAGGAAATAATATTATATATGCTATACTATATTTCACAATACATTTAAAAAGAATAAATTTTATAAAAATTTTATTTTGTACAATAAATGTCTGCACTATTGGCTCACTAAAAAAATTCCTAGACTGAAATTAGAAAATCAAACCATCTTGCAGCTAAGGCCTTAACCCTGTGGGAGAGTGCTAAAAGCTTTCTGAGGTCTTTGCTGATTTTAAAGCAGTAGAAAACTGGGACAGAAGACTGAATTTGAAAGAGTTCAATAGGATTCTCTGAATGTTCTGGGCAGATATCCAGGATGAAGGCCGGAGGTGGAGAGGAGAACACTGTATTGTTCACATTTGTTGATAAGAATGTCTTAAAAAGTGAAACTTCTTCCTCGAAGCAGAAGGGATTCTGATAGGGTCTAAATGTTTACCAGGAATGTGATTGGCTCAGGCAAAATGGATAGCTATGTAGAAAGAGCCCTTAATCTATAATCAAGGTGGAAAGGACAGCACTTAAGGGTAATGTTTTCATGACAATTGCTAAAATTTCAGAGCAGCACATGGATTCTTTTTTGTTGTTGTTGTTCTGGAGACTGAACCCAGGGCAAGCTAGCATATGTTCTACCACTGAGCTAAACCCTCAGTGCTCCTCTTTCTCTTTTAATTGTAGGAAAATATTAACTTTTCACAGTACCCATAAAGAACCTCTACCTGATAATATGGAAGCTAAAATGGGTTTTGGTAATGTGGGGAGACAGAAAGAGACCAGAAAATGGAACTAGGCTGATGCCCCCTAAGTAGTCTCAGATAAGACCACATCAGGGCAGCCAGCCTGCGAAGGACCAGGGTCTGGATAATGGTGACTTCTGACAGCATACTGGGAGGCTGTGACCTGGGTTCTGGTCCACGTTTTCTGCTGGTCTGAAATAAATACTAATCCTCAGATGTGGAAAGCTCACCTGAAAATGCCCTTTACCAAATTTTATTATTATTTTGCTGTTGTAAATGGGATGTTTTCCACCAGTATGTCATCTAAATGTTAAGGATATTTTTGAGGGTTGCCTTTAAATATTTTGAGCAATAGGCTCACAGACTTGGAGCTCAGAATTTATAAAATAAACAAAATAGGGAGGAAACCGGATGATGACAAGAGGTTTTCCTGTCACACAGTAAGGCAATAATACAGTGTTCCGCACTCCCCCCCCACCAGCTAGCAGGAAAGAATGAATGCATTCCCTTAAAAATCAAGAACAACGCAAGAAAGTTCACTCTATTTCCATTCAACATTGTATAGGAATTTTAGCCAGTGCAGTAAGGAAAAAGACACATAAAAGTATACAGATGGGAAAGGAAATTGTAAAATGTTATGTTAAAATGACTTAGAAATTGTAAGGAATCTATAAAGACTCCTACTCTGTAAATGTAAATGAGTTTGGCAAGGTCATTGGATAAAAGGCCAAAATACAAAAATCAATGGCAACAGTCAAAGGTAGCAACAAGCCATTGGAAATTGAAGTTAAAAGCCATTTATGACAGCATCAAAAGCATGAAATGCTTAGTCGTAAATCTAACGCAATATGTGGAAGACCTGTATGTGAAAATTCACAGTATAGTTGGAATAAATTAAAGAAGACCTAAATAGATGGGAAGATATACCATTGCTCATGGAATTATTAAGATATTAAATATCAAATGCACTTAGATTGAATGTGATTCCACTGAACATTCCAGAAACTGTCAAACTGATTCTAAAAATTGGAAAGGAATGCAAAGGATCTAAACTAGACAAGACAATTTTGAGAAAGAAGTTGGAAGATGTATCATGCTAAATTTTTAAATTATAATAAATCTTTTAAAAGCTAATGTAATTTGACAGAATGGTATAGTGTAAATATAGACACACAGATCAACTGAACAGAATAGAATTTGTAAGTGGCCCATTTGTTTTTGACAAACGGACAATGAAATTGAATAGAAAAAAGGTGTTTTTCAATGATGTTTCTGGAACAAATGGACATTTATATAGAAAAACAATAAAACCTATTATTTCTTACACAATACACAAAAAATTGATCAAAGCATGTTTAAACCTTAGAAAATATGATTCAAACCCTATGAAATTATTAGTAGAAGGCCTAAGAGAAAAACCTTGGTGATCTTGGGGTAAGATTTCTTAGAATGAAGAAAAATAGAAATTATAAAAGAAAAACGAGGGAATGGGATTATGGCTCAGCAGTAGAGTGCTCACCTAACTTGTGCTAGGGGCTGGGTTCAATCCTCAGCACCACATAAAAATAAATAAATAAAATAAAGGTATTGTGTCCAACTACAACTAAAAAAAATATTAAAAAAAGAAAAAAACTTGAAAGACTGAACTTTATCAAAATTAAGTACTGCTACTTTTCAAAACACACTGTTATGAAAATAAAGGAAGCTGTAGATTGTGGGAAATTATTTTCAATGTATATATATGACAAAGGCCTTATATGTAGAATATAGATACAACTCCTGTTCAATAAAAAGATATAATTTCCAAATATAAACTAAAGATTTGAAGATACTCCACTAAAGAAGATATGAAAGTATCTAGCAAGCACACGAGAAGCTGCTTAGCATCATTTGTCATCAGAGAAGTGCAAATTTAAACCACAATGAAATACTATCTTATATCCTCTATCCTGGCTTAAAAAAAAAAATAGTTGATGCCCTTTCCCCTGGTCAGTAGTCCAGAAAGCACGTGAAACTTAGAATTCCTGTAAAAGATGTAAACCAGCAAGAGTTCATCAGAGTTCTGGCAGCCTTTCTTTAAAAATCCAGGAAGCTGAAGGTCCTCGAGTGGGTGGACACAGTCCAGCTGGCCAAGCACAAACAACTTGTTCCCTATAATAAGAATTGGTTCTTCACATCAGCTGTTTCCATATCAGGGCACCTGGACCTCTGGGGGTGGTGCAAGAGTTGGCTCCATGACTACATTCTAAAGGAAAGATCAGAGAAATGGCATCACGCCCAGCCACTTCAGCCAAGTCATCAAGAATGTGGCCTGGTCGTGATGGCTGCACAACAATGTGAATGTACTCAAAACTACTGCATTGTATGCTTCAAAATGGTTAAGATGGTAAATGTTATGTTTTGTGTTTTTTGTGTATTTTACCACAAGGAAAAAAAAAGTAGATACATCAGTGGAACAAAACAGTCTATAAATAGATTGCAGGCATATGGTCTACTGGTTTTCAAAAAAGTGTTGTAATGGAATAAAAAGAAGAGAGAGTAAGAGTGTGTGTGTGTGTGTGTGTGTGTGTGCTTTTTTCAGAAAGAAATATAGCATGAAACTCACTGAGCTGCTTTGTGCAAGCTGTATGACATTGGCCTTCACCATTTCTAAGAACAATTCATTTATGAAGCCTATATGCCAGGTTCCAGGTCTGATAGTTTACTTGAATTCTTTAATTTTTGCAACAACCTTAGGAGATAGGATTTATTTTACAAATACTAATACTGAGCCTCGGAGATCTTAGGTACCCATGCTGGTGACTGGGAGAGCTGTTTGAAAGCTCCTTTATCAATTCCAGAACAAGTGCACTTGGCCTTTACCTCTAAGTTGCATCTTTCTGTGTAAGGAGTTTTGGAGAGGTTCCTATCTTCTACCATTGTAACCCAAGGACCACTTTCCTTGTCCTGATTCTAAGCCTAAGGTGAAGAACTTGTTTTCTCTCCTGCTGCTCTAGAGGAGGCAAAGTGAGGCAGTGCAGAAAGTCCTATGAACAAATACCCCGAGTTGCCATTTGAGAGCAGGTGGCCTTGTGCAAATCACTGTGACTTCATGGATGAAAAAGTTGCCAATTTAAATCAGCTCCAAGTTTCCTTTCTGTTCTAGGATTCTAAGATATGACAAAGCTAAGATAGGCTGAAAATAAATTTTCTCAGAAGGCTAAGTGTAGTAATATTGTTTTTTGTGCTAAATACAAGTGTGTGTATGCATTTCACATGTACTCCATACAAGGACTAATATAAACTCATGTTGGGGCTAATGCATAACATAAGCTCCTTACTTTTGGAGACGACCAATCAGACATGTCATTCCACCTAAAGAAGATACATGTGTTTCCAAAATAGCTGTACCTCTATTTGTGTAATCATGTCTAAATATACGTCACAACTATTTATTGCATGTTTACTATATACTAGGCACTCTTAGCTCATCCCTGACACTCATTCCTTCATTGTCTTCCTGGGCAGACTACAATTACTGCATTTCACCACTGCTTTGGGAATGGAGGGCAGCTGCTATGGCAGTACCTAGGGTCATGGAAACTGTTTTAAGAGCTTGTGCAAGTAAGCTTGCTCCAAACCTACAAAGGAAGAACAAGTTGGCCTTCACTTGGCCTCGAGAAGAGTGAGTTGTGTTCTAGTCTCAGCACAGCAGGGTTAAATTTACCATTTATAATGCTGCTTCACAGACTTTTTACCAAATCTGTTAATTATAAACTCAGGTTTATTCAATTCCAAGGAAGGGGGGGGTATTTAAAACACAGAAGCTGAACCTATTTAGATACTACAGAAATAGAGGTACAGTGCTGGGGCAACTGATTCCATTGTCACCCGTACCTTGTTTCTGTGAATGAAATCTTTAATTTTGAAAAGTTCAACCTTGATTTATATTTTCTTTCTAGACATAATTTCTGCTTTTGGCTCAAACACCCACCACTCCTGTTTTGTCTTCTTACAATTTACCCTTCATTTTGCTCTGAGAATGACTCACCAAAAACCAGAGGAATGTATACCAGCAAGTAAAACATAATATGCAGTGTTTAATGGACTTAATTAATACTGGTCAAGATCCTTGTTTTTTTTCTAACATCATGAAACTATTACACAACTGAGCCACTGAGAATTTATAGATAGATAGATTTCCACTGTGTTCCACTTCTGAACACTGGGATACACAGCAGCAGGTTTTATTTTTCTAAGCTGTTATTAGGGTGATCAGAATGCAGTAGTACTACTGGGACAACTGACTCTACTGTCACCCTCACCTTTCAGCATCACATTATCTGTGATCTCACTTTGTCAACCTTGTGGATGAGCTGGGGAAGGGGAGTAAGCACTAACTATGTAGGAAGTTTGTCTTTCCTTGGAGAATTTTCTTGTCAGCAATTCCCTATCAGTCACATCTTTAAGAAACATGAAATTAATTAAAAAACTTGACATTTATCTCTTCTATTTACACTCTTAAGAGTGAACCCATTGCTAAAAAAAACCTTTGGTGTAACAGTCCCTCCTCAGATCAGCTTATACTTGATTCAAGTTCTATATACTACTTTTAGCATTAGTGATGTTGTGCACTGGCTGCTTTGTGTGATGTACAGCATGATCACTCACACAGGAAGTCTAGTGTCTCAATGTGGCAGTGTAGCAAGAAGTACAACCCTTCAGAGGCAGTCTGGGTCAACTCCTAAAAAGTCACTTACCTGTCTAACACTTCAGACCTGTTCCTTAACCAAAGTCCAATGACCACATGTGGAGTAAAACTTGCTTGATAAGGTGGCTGTGAAGAACTATGTGTAAAAACACAGTATAGTGCTTCATGAGACAATACTTACTAATATGGTACCCATTAGCAATGGAGCTCCAAACTTGTGCATGAAATACAAAGAAAACAAGTAGCACTGGTAATAACACATTTATTTACGTACCCTGTTGTGTAACTGGGAGGTGTTTTTTACTTTCCAATAGTTGATTAGGTTTTAACAATTAAAATTCCAGAAGGTAAACTAGTGATTTATTGTTGCTCATAAGCATAGGTAAACAGACATGGTACCACATAAAGGAATTTTAAACACTCTAACCTTTTGGTAGTTTTGAATTTGGACCACTAGACTTTGGCAAACTCAGCAGATTACCAATAATGCTTCTAAACCTCATGGTTTTCTTCAGACACAACAGGAAAAATTTAGATTTAATTTCTGAACTTCAGAAATTTAACCAAGATTCTTAGGAAGGTGCAAAAGGCCAACTAATTTACTTCAGCCTGTCATATTTATCATCAATATAACTATTGCTATTCAAAATGAGATTATGGCAGGCAGCAATCAACTAATGACTAGTCTCATTTTGTAGATTAAGTATTTTCTGAAAATAACTCACAGAAGATGGCAGGCTGAAAGTTTACTTTTAAGTAGTTCTAACTTTACCTTTTGTTTGCTAGTTAAAGGAATTCAGATAAATGCCAAGTCAAAGAATTGGACAGCACATCAAATTGGGTTTCCTATTACAATTAGCTTTCTTTGCTAGTGACTGCATCAGGATACCTTTCATTCCTGCCTTCAAATTTTAAAGCACGTATTTTTAGGGGTTTGATAAATGTAACAAATGGGTACTCACTGCTAGAAGAGAATATAAGAATGTGCTGATCACCGGTATGAGATTTATATTACATTAAATTAAAATTATATACTGTTGGAAATAGACAAAAGAGGGAGTTCCCAGATCCTAGAAAATATTATGGCTAAGGAAATAGAGAACCCAAAAGAAGAATCCACTTCCAAGAAACTAATTCAGTATAGTAAAATAGAATTAAGTGCCCTGTCTTAGGAAAAAGTTTATTAATAATAAGGAACAACTGGGATATCATACATCATTTCTTTGGAGATTAAAGTGCAGGCTATGAAATGGCATATAAAATAATGCATAAAATAGTGCAATCCTAAGGTGCCATTATTTTTATGACGCATAGCCTATTTTTATATGTCCACTTTCTCTGAAAAACTCAGCTGTAGTGACACCTTTTAGCTTATTTATTTAGGCATTACTTATACTCTGTTTTACCCACTTCTGGGGCTACATAGAATATTTTAACATTTGAACATGTAGAACAATAGCGCATACATCTTGAAACTACTAAATAGAGATTAAGGCAAGCCTCTGTAAAGTTCGGTACTCCAAAAAACACATTTTACAAAAGTTGCTTCCAAAACCAGCGGCTTTAGACCTGATGGCACCCCAATAGTCTTTAAAAACAGTTGGATTACTCTGAATATATTTGCATTTGCCCCATTATTTCCAGGCTCTGAACATCAAAAGAGAATTCTGAAAAACAGCAGTTTCTATAACCTCAGAATGTAAGAAAACCGTGTCCACACGAAAGCTAAGCTGAGGATCTGGCTGGGGTGAGGGTTGAGGCCAGTCCTCTTCATTTCCTATCCATGTCTTTTCACATTTTTATCCATGTATGTAGTGTTGTACCATAGTTTATGTGTGGGAATGACCCATTAAAACAGGGAAGTCTCTTCCGCCAAGGAAGATGATGGCAATACTTCATGGAATGCTGTACTATTAAAACATACAGCATTTAAATTACTGGCATAAAATGCAGAGCAAGAAGGTTCTGAGACTAATTTATAAAATTCCTGTAACATGTCAAGTTTAGATGTATTTATAGAACCCTAAACGTTACTATGCTATCCAAAAGCAAGTTTAACAGTTACCCAATAACTATTCTAATAAATGTTGAAGACAATACCATAACCTGTTTTAGCTAGTCTACAACATAAAACAACTGTAGTGCTTTATTCTAATTATGAAACACTCATGCATTAACAAGTGCAACTCAATCTTATGGACAGGGATTATAAGTATACATTGTAGAAATTTGAATTTGGAAACAAAAAATTTACCTCCTAACAGTGTGAATGCTTACTCTGAAAGCCATATACTCATGTTAACTAGTGGAAGACTACAGATATATTTAGGCTATTTTGATGTAGTTTAAAAAGAAATTCAGGAAACTTTAGTAATTCAATAACTATTAGAGAAATAATCTGAGGACTGGGGGTGTAGCTTAGTGGTTACAGTATTTGCCTAACATGCACAAGGCCCTGCGTTCCATTCCCAGTACTGCCAAAACCAAAAAACCAAAAAGCTGAGGCTATATCCCTTTGATGCATAAGGATCATAGTTTGTAAACCAGTACTCTGATACTTAAAAAAGGTTTCCTATTACCAGAAAAAGCATAATAGTAAAGGCCATGAGTATTCCAGTAGGCCTCCTACAAAGTTATGATAATATGGCTAAATCCTATGATTACAAAATGAGACCTGCTGAGAAAATGAGTTCCAGACGGGGACTTTTATGGATGACCTTGGCTGACAAATGTTTTTAGGAAACTGTTTATTTTAAAATTACCTTCCCAACAAACCATAAACACTTGGATGTTACTTTATGTTTTTTCATTGAAAACATACTACATTGTAAATGGAGTTTCAAAGGTAGACATATAATTGATCAAAATCTAAGGACAATATTATGAAAGGACAATACTAAAAAAAGATAGGAAAAAGTTAACCTAAAGAATGCAAAAACCATGTCATGTTGGACGGATAAAAAAGGTGATAACCTTGTGCTTTTATTCAACTAAGGTACTTACCAAAACCTTAGATTGTATACAGGTATCAAACTATTGGAAAGGGATAGTTTTCTATATTACATCTAAATTTATTTTAAATAACTGAAGCCCAAGGCAACAGTTGTTTAAAAACTTGACAAATAACTACATAATTTAGTACATTAAAATAAAACTTGGACAGTGATCGTTGAATGTCTCAAAAATATACAACTGGGCAAAAGAACCACTGTACACAATCTGGAGATTGTTAAAGTGACCACTCAAAGGTTGAACAGTGCAAGACATGCTTTTCCAGTTACAAGCTAAAAACAGAAGTGCAAAAAAAAAAAAAAAATAATAAAAAAAAATAAAGCTTTTGTTATAGGATAAGGAAGGCTTGAAATTAATATTTAAAAGCTTCCCTCGGGTCATCTCCCAGAAATGAAATGATCGAATTGCTTTTTCATGGTACAATTTTCTTCAATAAACTTTCCTTCAGTGGCAAACTGCATCCACAATTAGGTCCCCTATTCAGTCACCAATATGATCCAT